GAGGGATGCACCCAATTGCAATTATAAGGGGTCAACCTGTTCGAGTGACTGATAGAGAGGTCAATTAATTGCACCGTGGGACTGAAAAGAAGGGAAGAAAGTGGTGCCACGTTAAAAGATCTAAAGCAATTTGTTTTTCAATCGAAAACCTGGCGCTGAATCAATGTGTTTTCAGAGTTAACCCACTGTTTGAAAAGTGTATGTCATCTGATTTCTAATTGATTTGAATTCATTAGTGGGCTCCTCGCTGTGCTACAACTTGAACGGCCATCTCCCCCACCCCCAAGTCACTGTTGAAAATCGCTCACTGAACAGCAATGTCCTGCCTTAGGTGGCAGCCACTTCTTGTTAAAGAACGTCACAGTCTGAAACCACATGTTAGAGAGCATGTTTTATTAGCATTCTGTTCTGTGCCATTGTTATAATGGAAGGACAGCCATCGAATTTTTGTGACAAAATTGAAAATATATGGCATTGCACTGTTTTATTTTTATGAAACAGCTGTGAGAGAAACATCAGAGTAAAGATCAAGCTTAAAAGATTGTAGGTCAACAATACTCGTCTTGAGTCATGTACAGTACTTCTAGTAATGCTTTAGAATTTCTAGTTGTGCCGTGTTCCTTTGTCTGGTGTTTTCTAAATCAAGTTGATCCGATAATATAATAATAAATAAATAATAATAATCCTTGCATTTGATTTATCGCTTTATCATGTCTTCGAGACTTCTCAAAGTGCTCCACAAGATATATTGTCAAGTGGTTTGACTATGTATTTTGTAGGCAATTATTTGAATTGCCACATAATCCTAAATATTTAATTATTTTGTTGTTATTTATTATTTTATTATTATACTGTCCTAAATCTTAGAGGCTGGTGATTCGCTTCTGTTCAGGTGCCCATCATTCCGCTTCATGATCCGTTTCCACGTGGTGCTTCCTATGTAATACTCAAATTTTGCTGAATAATTGGCGTTGTGTAAAAAATAGATGAACGTTCTTCAGGATGTGGCAAAGCTGTTTTTGTTGGAGACTCCTCATCATGATCCTCTGTGGATAATAGCTGTATGTTACTGTAGATGCTGTAAATGAAAAGTGATCTCGCTCTTGAGCCAAGCCGTTGATAAGCTCAGTGATAAGCTACTGTGCATCAAGTGGAAAGCTTTCAATATCAATATTTCTCCTCATTGTTCCAATGTCTGTAAGCGTGTGTGTTATAGTGGTATCATGACTAAGCCTTGAAGAACTGTAGTCAAATCTCTGCATCAAAATTGAAAAGTAATGAGAATGTATTTTTTCCCCCCAAGGAATACGATGAACTGAATGTTCTTTGTTTACGTGTAGTTTTTTTTTCTAATTTTAGTAAATTTCCCTTTTTGAATTATTTATTTTAAAAAGTTCCACAATAGTACTCTAATAAATAATAATCCTTGCATTTGATATTGAACCTTATCACGTCGTTGAGATGTCTCAAAGGGCTTCAAGGGCTATACTGTAAAGTGGAGTGACTGTGTATTTTGTGGGCAAAATGCGTCAGCTAGTTTGCGCACAACAGTGTCCCACAAACAGCCATGAAGGAATATATATATATATATATATATACATGTGTGTAAATCAATCCACTGTAGGAATGAAAGACATTTCTTAGTTCAGGCGAGTTACTTCATAGCTGAGAGTAAAAGCAGATTTGACCTCATGGTGTTTGTTTGAAAATTACATGGAAACTTGATATGCAACACAAATAGCCGGCCGAATTTTAGCAGCTTCCATCCATCAGTTACGTTCCACTAGAAAAAAGGGTTACACATAACCAGCCAGTGGTGTACTGTTTGGCTGATGAATTACATACAAAGAAAATTTGTGTGTTCATGCCAAGTCCCTAATGATACGTAGATTGGAGCCAAGGAAAGATTTGCAGAGCTGCTCAACGTAGTCACGGTCCCGGTAGGAATTCTCGGCATGTAAAGGTCAAAAAAAGTGAAAGTAAGCAAACAGCTTGCACAGGATTTATATATCAAGTGGTGATTTACCAGCAGAACTAAAGTGAGAGGGAAGGGAACTCAGCTGATTCATGTGGACCTCAACAAGTGTTGTAGAGCGAGTTAGCTCCCAAGTGCTCAGGCAATTATGCAGGTGGATTTGCATATCTGCCTTAATGAACCCGAGCTCTGCCGAGCTTTTAAGGCCGATGTGGTTTGTTTCCAATGTGGACAACCTCACTGCCCTTTGTGCATCATTGTCTGCAATGCTTTCAATTGCACATTAAGTAAATAATTGATTTAAAAGATGCGCTGGTCCAGGCAATGCAAAAATATACTCCAGTGGTTATCCAGGGCTCCTGAATTTACCTCTCACACAATTAGTGTACGTGTAGAAGTTTACTGAGGGTCAAGTCTGTCTTGGCTTGTGGTACCTCACCACTCCACTTTGTCCAATAGGCTACCTGACCCACACTCAATGTCAGGACTCTCGTGGATGAATAATATGGATGAGATACATGTGTTCTTTTTAGTCTAATTCCATTGTGATGCTTTATTTATTTCCAGCATCAACAACCATGAAAGCCTTTGGAAGTAATAATAATCTTTGCATTTGCTATAGACACCTTATCACGTCTTCGAGACGTCTCAAAGCTCGTCACAGGATATGCTATAAAGTGAATTGACTGCACAATTTGTGGGCAAAACGCGGCAGCCAATTCACAGCAGTGTCCCACAAGCAGTTGTGGGGATTGAGTGACCAAATTATTATTTTTTTTAATGGATTTTTAATCCCAGAAAAACGATCTGCCAATCGACTAACAACCGAGTTCCCACTTACTGCTAGCTAAACAGAGGTGTGTGGAGTAAGGAAAGTTGCGTAAGGTTTGGCCCTGACTGGGAATCAAATCCAGACCAGTGCTCTAACCACTAAGCTACAGGACTTTGGTGATACTGATTTGGAGGGCTATGTGGAGAATAAGGTGAACTAACGTTACATCTATGCAAAAGCGCAGCTCACTCAAAAGGGAATTGTCTGTTATTGTGATCCATCATTTATTTATTTTTGATTCTTTTCAGACACTCCTCCCAGAAATTATTTCGATTCCCCGAAAAAGTTTTTTAGAAATGACAGTGTATCTCATTAAAATAAAATTAAGAACTTTGCGGAGTTAATAAGTTTCTATCATTTATCATGTGGCAAAATTGTGACTTTCCGCGACTGTTTTTATGGTATTTTACACGCTCAGAGATCCTCCCAACTAATCTTGCAAGTAAATTCCATTAGCGCGTTTCATTTGTAGTTAATTCTTATCTCTGCATCAGTAAATGGGAGATTACTTAGTTCTTCCTCACAAATGAAAAGTAAATCCACAGCCATCGATCATTAACGAGGGCATAAACTGGTCTAATACCTTGCATATGTAATGCTATTAGATCTTAGAGATGTGAAATTATTCAGAGTATATTTAGGATTCGAGTCACTGGTGCTACAATCCGCTTGCCATATGGCAAAAGCTTCCTTATACTGTTTTTATATTAATAGACCTGCTTCTTTGACTGTGCTTCCAATTATCTTCCCCTGCCCCCACCCTCAGGTCCCACCCACAGCTCAGGTGCCAAGACAGAATTGCTCAACACCTTAGAACATCGTCCCCATGTGAAAGGTGCTGTATAAATGATAATAATAATCCTTGCATTTGATACAGCGCCTTATCACGTCTTTGAGACGTCTCAAAGCGCTTCACAGAATATACTGTAAAGTGAATTGACTGTGTATTTTGTGGGTGAAACACGGCAGCCAATTGTGCACAGCGGCGTCCCACAAACAGCCGTGGATTAAGTGACTTAATTTTATTTTCTTAATTTTTTTTTGGAGGGGATTATTACCCCCAGAAAAGCAATCCCCCAATCAACTGGGTTCCTACTTACTGAACAGACGTGTGTGTGTGTGTGGAGTAAGGAAATGTGCCCAACATTTTGCCTTGCCAGGGAATGATATGTTTTATTTAGAAAAGTGCCCTCAGTGAGTGTGCCCTGTGAGTGTGCCTTGTGACAATGTTGGGCCTTCCCTTCCTATAGTCACTGTGGTTTGAAAAACTATCAGAGTGACCTTACGAGAGACCCTCAGGATGGCTCTGCTGCTCATCGGCTCGTGTTCCTCACCACATTGTGATGGATAATCACCAGGATCTCACCAATACACATGGCCCCTTCAACGATGAAATCACAACTCATACACAACCTCTCCTAGAGGAGGAAAGGAGAGAGACAGAGAGAGAAAGAGACAGAGAGAGAGAGAGAGTGAAGACAGTGTAATAATCTGTAGTAGGTGATAAAAGTGACCTGGAATCTTGCAACGCGTTGGAAACAAATCCTGAGGAAACTCTACAAACTGAGTCCGATCTCTTGGGAAATCCACCTAACTAGCAACCTGCTTCCTACTCACCCACATGATCTCAGCTGTGCACAGACTCGCTCAGTTACAGGTGAGGAATAGGTGGGGCAGATCACTGCACAGAGCTGAGATGACCTTTCGTCAGGCCATCGACCTGAAACGTTGACTCACTTTCCTCTCTCCATAGATGCTGCCTGACCTGCTGAGTGAGTGTTCACAGCCACTTCTGTTTTTATTTCAGATTTCCAGCACCTGCAGTATTTTGCCTTTTGGACTGTTGCTATTGGGTGTTCTTAACCATATTTTTTTCCCTGTTTAGCCAATATAACAAACAGCAAATTACATTTGTATAGTGCCATTCACGTCAGGAGGATGTCCCAATGCCATTACACGTGCACAACGAGGATTGCAGTGTAATAATTAATATACAGTCACTTCATAGTAAATCCCTGAGAAGCATTTTGAGACATGCTGATGACATGATAAGCCACAACATTATTATATTGTATTATCGTGTCATTATGTTATTATGAATGATACACAAATGCAAAATTAAATTAACAGAAACAAATTAACCAGAGAAGCAAATATGTCTTAAGTCGTCTCTTGTGTTTGCTGTTTTCACAGGGACCCGGGTTTATATCTGAAGCACTTTGGGCTCGGGATGTGTCAGTGGTTGAGTCCTTAGATCCCTCCTTCCGTCTTCACGAGACTGTTGCTAAGGTAAGATCAGAGATTTAACTGCAGCCATGAGAGAGAAAAGCACATTAGTGCTCTCTCAACATGCTCGCAGTTGGACAGTGATTTTGTGAACTGAGAAAGGATTTCTGTATGTCTCGGATGCTGTGGTGAATCACAGCTGCGATGGAATGAATTTTAATTGTGTCTCTTTGCTGCTCACGGTGTCATGATACTCAGTAACTAATGAGATGTGCTCACAGAAGAGCGTAGATGTGAGGCTATCATTTCTGGACTCTGTTTAAGCCGCTCTGTTTCTATCACCAACTGTTTAAATCGTGACAGAGGTTCAGTAAAGTACAGACAACCTACACGTCAAATGAGATAAAATTATTGTCACCAAACACAATAATAAAACAAGCTGCTGCAGCTGAATAAAAAAAACTCCAAACAGCCCAGGTCATTAATATCTATCGCTGATTTAACCCTGGCTCAGCCCTGGGATCCATTACCGTGAAGCGCTCTGAGATGCCGTCCGGCGTGGAGGGCGCTATATAAATCCAAGTTGTTGTTGTTGTTGTTGATTGGAACGAAAACACACTGTAAAAGGTAATACATTTGACCATTACATTACTTCCTAACTCCACGCGTCTCTGTTTACCTAGCAGTGAGTACCGGTTGCTAGTCGATTGGCGGATCGCTTTTCCTGGGATAATAATTCCTTGAATAAAATAAAATGAATCCACGACTGCTGTGCGCAATGGTCTGCAGCGTTTTGCAAAATACACAGTCACTCCACTTTACAGTATGTTCTGTGAAGCGCTTGGAGACATCTCGACAACGTGATAAGCGCTATATAAAAATGCAAGGATTATTTATTACTTTTATAAGATTCCGAATCTTCCACAAATTCTGCACAGTCTCTGCTTAGACAGCTCCTCGTGGGAGCTTGTATTTACACGGTCAACTAAACCGCTAAACCGCTAAACCGTGCTGGACGTAAAACTGGTGCCTGTCATCTCTTTGGATTGTTTACATTGCTGTTTCTGTTAATTGCATAATCTCCAACTGAGAGCTCTGGCTACATGTACACCCAGCAGCACAAAATTAGCATAACATTGTTTGTACTTCTTTATTTACACATTTCTCATGTGTAACTCGGAGTATATGTTAGCTTACAGGCTCCTCAGTAAATATACATACCGTAGCTACCATGAACATGTTAAAGAGTTTGTTAACCCTGTATCAGGTGCCTCGCCCACAAAACACACACAGTCACTACACTCTACAGTATATCCTGTGAAGCACTTTGAGTTGTCTCGAAGACTTGATAAGGTGCTGTATCAAATGCAAGGATTATTATTTATTATTATTAGCTTTCATAGTTTTTTTTCTTGGGCGGGGAGGGGGCGTGAGGTGAAAAAAAACATAGTGTTAAGTAGATCACATTTGCTTGATTTGCTCATAAATTTGTGAAGCAGATTCTCTGTACTTTCCTACCATCTCTCTGGCTGTATTTGAACCAAGATCACAAGGATGAAGGAACAGTGTTTTAGCTCAGTGAGCCATCCAGCAATAAAATGACCTGGGAGGGAACACGCTGACTGTCCTAATTCCGAGGATGATTATGGTATTTAATAAAGAAAGGACCTGACTATGAGTCCTGGAAGCTAATTATACAATGTAGCTGTCAGGTATTGCAAATGCACTGTATACACCAACACATTACAATTCCAGTGCTGGAAAGGTGCTAGTAATGTGACATCCTTGTAATACTTAATGAAAAGGAACGGAGCTGCTCTGAATTTAAATGCGCCGCTCACTAAATTTTTCTTTTTTTTTTGAAATGTGGCATTTCCACTCTGCTTGATGTATCCCAGATTAGCAACTCGTGACTATTTCAGCAACAGAATTCCCATTCTACCCACAACTCTCTGTCTCCGTTCGACTGGCTCCAGCCTTCTGCATGTAACCTCACACTCTCTGTTCCACCATCAATAGTCAGGCTTCCAGCCACTGCACCCCAAAATTCTGGAACCCTCTTCCTCTATCCTTCCCTCCGCCTTGTCCCTTCCTTCCCCATCTTCAGGTCGCGACTGAAGACCTTCTTCTTCGACTGTGCCTATGGTCACCTCCCCCCTTTCCCCCAACTCAGTGCTGTGCTCCGCCACTGTCAAGCACTCTGGGACTTTAGGGGCGCTGTGTTAATTGCAGGTTTTTGTTGTTGTTGTTAGGGATGGGGATGGGTTTCCACCTATGTCAGACCAAAGATCAGAAGTAGATTAGACATTAAGCCGTCCATGGATGAGAGTCATCTCTCTGCCCAATTAGGGTAGACTGTGGCCAACCCTGCAATAGAATAGCATTTTGAAAGGCTATAATGGGGGAAACAGGGCAGTGTGCTAGGCTTGCACACTCTTCATCTCGCGGACCTCACTGATGGGGTGAAAGTTTGCTCTGGTTGCTGCCTGTAACGATTCTTTGTAATGAAATGGGCTGCTCAGTGACAAGCCACTGCCTGGCAGGCACGAGGGACAAATCAGCTCGAAATGAATAGCGACCGGCAGCCATTGGTAACGTCACTAGGAGAAACTACACGAAAGCCAGCAATAGAAATTGAAATATGTCACTCATGCTGAAGGGGTCCCTTTCTCATGTTCTCTAGCGTTGAAGGTAAGGATCACTGTTAGAGCAGATTCTGAAGGTTTGGCTCTGCAGTTACCATTGTAGACCTGCCCTGTGAGCCCTTCATGCTAACATTGGGGTTTCCTCTTGACAGAGATAGCACCCCTCACCTGGATGAGTGCAACACGTCACTTCAGATAGTTGAGAGAGAGAGAGAGAGAAAGAGAAAAAAGACAAGGGAATTTTCACCAGTTTAATGAGGTCCGGACTTATTTTTGAACAGGTGTGTTCAACTGATTCTCATTATTGGAGGCTGTTTGCTGTGTGTGGATGTGTTGCGATTGAGTTGTGCTGTGAATCTGATGCGAGTTGAACTGGATGATTTGTTGACCAAAGTCTGTATCTCATTCCAGATTGAGCTGCAGGATTGTTTGCGTAATATACGTATTGAATACGGGTTTAGTCTCTGGACGCAGGGTCCCAGGTTAGTTCTTTACACGGACCAGAAAATGGAGAGGAAAGTAAGAATCTTGCTCCAACTCAAGTGGGGGAAAAGTTTCCAGTTTTAAACATTTGGAAAATAAGCTAGAGAACTCCCTCACTGAAAAGAGACTTAAAACCTGTCTTTAAAGTCCCTTTGGTTCTAAAGGGGCAAATAATAGGCAATGTGGTGACATTGTTTTGTACTCTGTTACAATAAACTAACAAGCCATTTGGCTCATTAAGTCTGTGGTGGTGTTTCTCTCTACACGAGCCGTCTGATCCAGTCCCAAAGTATGGCTCACTCTCCCATACTCCTCAGTATTGCACATGTTCAAGCAAATATGAAGGGGTGGATTGGATTATAAATCAATGAACAGGTTTGAAATCACTTGTGATGGCCCCTCATTCAGTTTGCCCAACATGTCAATTTTGTTCACAGAACAAATAGTTAGTGCACCGAAGAGAGAGTGATTTTCTTTTCTGTGGGCTATCACAGAGCTATCTTCAGCTGGCTGGCAAAGAAAACTATTTCATTCAAGCAAGCAATCCGATATAATTACAATTGCCTTGACAGAGAGAAACTGATGCTATTTGTAACACTTTAGATTTATTCAGCCAAAGTCAAGTCCGTTGTAAGTGGGAGATTGAATACAAAACGGTTTACTAACTATCCGAGTATAAACACGACTGTTTGTGGGGGACGCTGCTGTGCGCAATTGGATGCCATGTTTCGCCCACAAAATATACAGTCAATTCACTTTAAGTATATTTTGTGAAGAGCTTTGAGACATTTTGAAGATGTTGATAAGGCGCTGTATCAAAGACGAGAATCATTATTATTATTATTAATTTTAAGAACTAAATCAATTGTTAATACAGTGCCTCCCGACATCTTAACACTTAAGCTTAGTTGCAGTCACAAATCTTTGGCTAAGCTATTTTGCTATGTTTTTTTTATTCATGAAAAATATAAAAGCGGAATAAAGGTCTTGGGGTGTGTGACTCTCCTTACCTGGCGAGTTCCTTGTTGCTCTCTGCAGTATTGCACCATTCCTGACACTTGCTCCAGAGTTTCTCTGATCCGTAGTGACCTTGAATTTGGGGCTGAGTTCTGTTTCTGTCGGTGCTGGAGCCCCAGCGAATGCAGTCAGGATCTGACATATCAGTTTATTACACCTAACAACCGTTTGCTAGCCTAGGCGTGACACTGATCGCTTGACTTCAGGCTCCAAATTGACAGCTCATTTGTCACAGAAGCAGCACATATTTTCAGACAGGTGACTAGTTCAAATAGATGTATCACCTGCTTTCCTCATTATAAGCATCCATTGGCAGAAAGCAGTCGCTTCCATTTTTTTCCCCTCTTCCCCTGACAATTGTGTGAACCTCAAGGCAGTACACTTTACTGCATCTCAGAGAGCGTAGTGCAACCTCGATGTTGTCTAGTTTGGGAAACTCAATGTTTATTTCAGTTATTTATAACCATAATCTTTGGTGTTTGATGCAGAGCCTTTCACGTCAGGTGGATGTCACAAAGCGCTTCACAGGATTTACTGTGAAGTGTAGTGACTGTGTTTTATAGTTCTCTGGGGCAGTGACATTCTACCAGGTGCCACCGGTTTGTGCTGCGACTCCAAACCCGTTGGGGTCAGATTACAACGTGTCCATTCTTTCCTTTAACCGCAATTAGAAAAGAAATGCTATTGCTCCCAATGCAACTGACAGTTTGCTCCTCCTGCTCCATGATAGGAGCTTAATCCATTTGCGTGTGTGCATTTAATCAGAAGACTTCAATGAAGAAAGATCAGGCACAGTAATCCTTATCAGGTCACTGGGACCAGATTGGAGGGGCAGACTAGAGCAGGGATTCTTCCCGCTTGTTTCCTGTTCACCCTACCAGCCAAAGGCCCAATGGTTGTCTGTAGTGTAGACAGGCA